CTGCGGGCCGCCGCCCGGCCGGGCCAGCGCGCCACCCGGCGCGCCAGGGCCCGCGGGGGCCCCTCGGTACAGGAGCATTTTTTTGGCCGCCACGATACTCGTTTGCCGCCGCCGGACTCCTCGCCCGGCCGTCCCGGACTGGCCCTAGCTCACTCCCGCTCGCAGCTGGCGGCCGCCGTCCGGGACCGGCCCTCCCTCGCTCCCACCCGCAGCTGGCGGGGGCGGGGCGCGCTCCAGCCACCTGTCCGGGGCGGGAGGGGTGAGGCCGGCAGAGCCGCGCGGTGGCCCCGCCCTGTCAGCACCTCTCCCGACCCGCCGCCGACTGCCGGGCCGGCCGCCGGGCCGTACAGAAATATGGCGACCTCCTGACAGCCGCTCCTCGATCCCCGCCCCTAATTAATTCTTGGCGTTCGCCATAGGCCAGGCCGCCGAGCGGGAAAGCGTTGGGGGGAGGGGGCGGGCGCGTGGGGAGGGGCGGGAATGAGGCGAGGGGAGGGAGAGGGTGTAGGGATTTCTGGAACAGAGTCCCAGTTCAGCGGCATGACTAACGGGCAGGATAAGACAAGTCTTACAAGTTCTAAAGACTACAATTTTGCTATCTGGGGAGATAGCAGGCTCGCGTGATGGGAAAGCATTCGGACTATTTTGCCTCAAATGCCTCCCGAAGCAGCCAGAACTTTCTAGAAGGCGATTGGCAAAAATCCTCTTCAAAGCTTTGCAAGAGTGCAGGGAGGCTGTTTATAAAAGGAGAAATTGGAACGCACTTAAATACCCCAAAGTAGGGGATGGGTTAGGTTACAGAGAATCCGTAAAACGGAATACTATGTAGTTCTTCAAGGCCATGTTTGTGGATGAAAATTTATTCATGTGGAAAATATTCATGAGAGAATTAAGGAAACAAGAAGTTGCCACATATTGTGTAACATGATATCTTTTATTGGAAAAATAAGTACATATACACATACATACATATGTATGCGTGCGTGCATGCACACACCCACACCCACACCCCACAATGAGAAACACCTGAAGTGACGTATTCCAAGATGGTACCTTCAGGTCTGGAGTTATGAATTTTTTGCCTTTTTTTCTGATTTGTGTTTTCTAATTTTTGTACCACTAAACATATACTGATTACAGAAAAAAGATTTTTATTTTTTTTAAAATGTTTCCTGGTGTAGGAAACATTTTTTGGCCAATAAAAAAGGTGCTTCCTCAGACATCCTCATGTAAGAGATCATGAATTTCTGGTACAATTATTTATACAGAATGTTGTTTTTAATAGCCTATGTGTGGTTTACTCTTAATAAGTACTGTAAAATGGAGGCAATTTACCCCCTAGGAAACAGCTACTTTGACACATTCATAGCACTAGATGGTTTTGATCTTTTAACTTTTGGCCAATCTTTTGAATAAGAAAATACTACCTCTTTATTGTTTTAATTTACATTTCCCTACCAGTGTAGCTAAATATCTTCTCAGATGTTTATTATATATTTATATTATTAGAGCATTATGTCCCCCCACTGAGTCTTTTACATTTGTCTCTTTTTTTGGTGTCTTAAAGTTTTTTAAATATGCAGAAGTACAGAGAATGATACAATGAATCTGCAGCTATTTATTATTCAGATTCAAAAATTATTAGGGCTTTTTCATACTTGCTTTATCTATTTTCTTTTTTTATTTCTGTAAGTATTTTAGAGGAAATCTCACATCTCATTTTACTCTATATACTTCAATGTCCTCCAAAAATATGGATATTTTCTAAAAATAAACAGCAACAATGCCACTTTCACACTGAACAAAGTTCCTAACTTTGATATCCCCTACTACTCAGTCCATATTCTGATTTCCTCAATTATCCCCCAAAATGTCTCCTTACATTTGGTTTGTATACATCTAGATCCAAACAAGATGTACACATTGCACTTGGTTATGGGCCTTAAATCTACTTTAATCTAAAACAGTCTTTCCTCTTTTCTTTTCTTCATTCTATTGCGTCGTTGAAGAAACCAAGTCACTTGTACTGTTGAATGTGCTACATTCTCATTTGTCTGTTTGCTTATTTGTGTTGTTACTTAGTTTGCTCCTCTTGTTAGGGGAATAAGTGTAGCTTAAATATAAACCATAAGTTGGCTCTAAAGTCTTCATTAGATTCCAGTACAAAGTGGTTTTTTTTTTCTGCAGGAATGCTCAGAGATGCTTTGTACTTCTTATTCTGTAACATTGGAAAGTACATACTGTCTAACGCTTAGTGATGTTCAGGTTGATCAGCGGGTTCACGTAGAGGCAGCCTGAATGTTCTACAATAAAGTTTCCCATCAACCTTTTACTTTATAATTTCATCAATTGATATTCATTGCCTGAAAAAATACTTTATTAGAGTTGCAAAACGATGATAAACAAATCCCATCATTTCTTTGTAATTTATTAACTTGATCCTTCTTTGTAGAATTTATCCTCGTTAACCATGGCTACTTGGTTACTCTGAAATACAATTCATATAGGAAGGACAAGATAAATGCTTAATTCTTTACTTTTTAAAAAAACTAACACAACATTGTAAGTCAACTACACTTTAATTCTTTACTTTTAATCGACCATGTTTAGAGTAAAGAGTTGGGGCCTGTTTTGGATACTCTGATGTGCCAGCCTATCTCCCATTTCAATAAAGGACTTTTGGGCTGAGCCACTGAGAGAACAGTTGGATTGCCTCAGGTTTAGAGAGATGCCTCACTCAAGGTCACGAAGTTTTCTGGGGCAGCACACCGTGACTGACCAAAGAAAGGCTATAAAGGCTTGATCATGTCAGCTTAACTTGGGGCAATTCTGAAGGGTCATTCTAACTCCAGATCTCTCTGTGGGCTTGGCTGAGGCTGTTGTTGGGTCTTCAGTGCAGCTCATCTTCCTCCCCTGCCCATGCCTGCTCCTTCCACAGGTGTTAATTCGAGAGACATCTCTTGTTGCATGCTACATTCTGTCTCAGAGTCGGCTTCACCGGGGAACTAAAATTATGGCACTTGAAACCAAGAGTTATCCAGGAAAAGCAGCACTTAGATGGGATTTGGGAACCAGATCACTCACTGCTCAGTTGGCAAGGAGGACCACGTCACAGAGTAGGAAGTGGATCACAGATAGTCCCCTGCCACAAGGTGGCAGTCCTATTATTGTTAAGACCTTCACCAGGTGGTGAATTGGGATGGTGTACTGGCAGAAGGAAACATATGGTATGGTGTGATATATCAAGTATTTGAGAAATATGGGGAAGAGTAGCTATAAGACCAATAGAATTCCGTGGTTATTGAGCTCCAAGAAGATTAAACTCCCAACAGAGTCAAGTTTGCTGAGCCCAAATCAGGATGCTTCCGGGGAAAGAATAAGACCCTGACATACAGCTTGGGGATATCTAGATTAATGCCACCAAAATCTCGAAACCCCAGATTTCTCTGAACCCTCTGAACCTGCAGAAATGACCTGACTTCCCTGCTGGCCGTTGCTTCCATCTCTAGCTTAGAGATGTTGCAGAGCTTCTCCCCAAGACAAAGTGTGTCTTCGCTTCCTCTCCTGGCCACCAGGCCTATAACAAGGGTTGGGGCACAGCATGAACATGCTAAGCTTGATAAAGGAGGAAAGTAACTATACCCCAAAGAGCTGTACAGACTAGCCAGCATAGACTGGCAGGAGCTAAAAGAGTGCACACAAAATTGGATTCTGAGAGGGCTTGATCAAGGGAGCTAGACCATAAGGTCAGGTAAAGGAGAGTTTATCAGCGTGGGAACAATCTCCTGGAAAATAGGAATTAATACCCCGGCCAGGACAAGAGATGGTGCAAACTCCCCACTAGGGTGGCTCCTAGAGGTATAGAAAACGTGATGATCCAAGCTAAGTGAGGTTGAAATGCCAGCGTTGCTGTGGCAATAGTGGAATAAGGGCTGAAAAGATTTAGAAGTGAGCATATTGGAGTAGATATACTGAAAAAGATGGGAAACCTCAAACAGAAAGGCCCAGAATACACATTTACCGTGGCCCCGAGGAACACGCTGGTGAGAGGGGTACCAGCACCATTAAGAAATTCAAGAGTGTTTCCTCTGTAGGTTAGGTCTATCCGCAGGAAAGAACGTTATAGCAAACCCACTAGGGCAGTGGCAATTGTAGGGCTCTGAAAAGACAGAGACCCTGTGGCTAAGTGTAACCGTCACGAGGCAGGTGAGTGCAGTTGTCATGAGTACAAGGTTGAGGGAGAAGACTGAGGGGCCCAAAGTGCAGTTATGGAAATGGTAAACAGAACATGGCATCCTAGGGGAAGGATAAATGGGCAGGGACAATGAATGTCCATTCTGGTGAGGTTTAAACCAGAGCAGTCATAGTCTTCCTTGCACAATGACCCACTGCCATTTCTTCCCCTTAGCACAGCATGGCATTTCTGAAAGCCCTGTTTGGCCCTCAAACTTATTTGACTCAAGCCTTGGAACTTCGAAAAAATGCCCATTTACTGCCTTCTTCTAAGGTGTGTGGCCCATCTGCCTCGCTTGCGGTGGGGCACTGTGAACGCTGCTCTAAGTATCGGCATGTTTCCTACTTGGTGGATTTGGTGTTTAAACATAAGCTTTGTGTCCTGATTGTCAACCGGGGTCAGAGGCGTCCTCTCAGCCCCTCTCCAGCTCCCCATGACGGAGGGGCGATTCGGAGGGGCCCAGGGAGCAGTTGAAAGTCCAGGGTTTGGCCTCCTTAGAGCCTCGCTGCCGCTGCACAGCGATAAACAAAAACAGCCAATGAATCTACACAAATTCCATCACTGTGGCTCTGCAGGGCTGTAAAAAGGCCATAACGCAAGGTTCCTCATACTTCACCACTAAACAGGGCTGCGGCGGCCGCTGGCACGTTGTGAGGGAGGACTCCAGTGAACAGATCCTGCCAGTGGGCACGGCATGGGTGCCAGGTGTGAAACCCTGGGTCTTGCTGCAAAATGAGGGGCAGGGAATGGCTTCAGCAGGGTGCGGTGGGCCCTCTGAACATCCCTAACACACCTCTCTCTGTCTTGGGGCAGAGCTTTAGTCCTCAAGGCCGGCCTCACTCTG